GTAGTAGTAGTAGTAGTAGTAGTACTAGCACTGTACGTAGTAGTAGTAGTAGAAGAAGAAGAAGTAGTAGCAGTAGTAGCAGTAGTCGTCGTAGTACTTGTAGTCGTAGTGGTAAGTAGGCAGTGGTGGGCAGTAGTGGGCAATAGAAGGTAGTGGCAGGTAGTGGTCGGTAGTCGAAGGTAGTAGTTGATAGGAATATATAGTAGTAGGCCGTAGTAGGTAGTACTAGGTAGTGACAGGTGATAGTAGGTAGTAGTAGGTAGCAATAGGTAGTGAGTGGTAGTGGTAGGTAGCAGTAGGTAGTAATGGTTGGTGATAGGTAGTAGAAAGTGGTAGCACGTAGTGCTCGGTAGTGGTGAGTAGTAGGTAGTAGTAAGAACTAGTAGGTGGTGGGAGGTAGTGGTAGGTGGTAGTTGGTAGTAGAAGGTAGCAATAGGTAGTTGTAGGTAGTAGCAGGTAACAGTAGGTAGTAGTAGGTGGTAGCAGGTAGTGGTCGGTACCGGTACGTAGTAGTAGGTAGTGGTAGGTAGTAGTAGGTAGTAGAACGTGATGGTACGCAGTAGTAGGTACTCCTGCGTAGTAGTAGGTAGTAGTAGGTCGTGGTAGGTAGTAAAACTCGTAGTAGTAGGAAGTAGTAGGTGGTAAGATCAGGTAGTGCTAGGTAGCACTATCATGTATCAGGATCATGGCCCAACCATCATACCACCAACATCTGATCATCATACCAAAAACATATGAAAATCATACCACCAACTCTGGTCATCACACCAAAAACATCTGATCATCATACTACCACCATCTGATCAGCATACCACCACCATCTGACCAGAATACCACCAACGCCTGATCATCATACCACCACCATCTGATCGTCATACCAACACCGGGTGATCATCATACCACCACCATATGATCATCATACCACCACCATATGATCATCACACCACCACAATATGATCAGCATACCACCACCATATGACCATCATACCACCACCCTATGATCAGCATACCTCCACCATGTGATCAGAGCATACCACAACCAACTTATCAGCAAACCACCACCACATGAGCATCATACCAGCCCAACATGGTCATCATACCACCACCATCCGATCAGCATACCACCACCATCTGATCATCATACCACCACCATCCCATCATCATACCACATTCATATGATCACCATACCACCACCAGAAGATTATCAGACCACCACCATAGGATCATCAGCCCACCACCACCTGACCATGATACCACCACCATATGATCATAACCCAACCACTATATGATCATCATACCACCACCAGATGAGCACCACACCACCACCATATGATCACCATACCATCACAGTTTGAGCATCACACCACCAACTCTGGTCATCAGACAACCACCATCTCATCATACCACCATCATCTGCTCATCGTACCACCAACCACCACCATGTAATCAACATACAAACAACATTTGCAAATCACACCACCACCACATGAACATCATACCACCACCATATGATAATCACACCAAGACACTATGAAAATCGTACCACCACCATGTGATCATCATACCACCACCAGGTGATCAGCGTACCACCACCATCTGATCACCATAGCACCACCACCACCACCATTTGATCATCATACCACCACCATATGATCATCACACCACCACCATATGACCATCACACCTTTTGATATGATCGTCATACCACCACCATACGATCACCATGCCTGCAACATATGATCACCATACCACCAACACCTGATCATCATACTACCAGAACCAGACCATCATACCACCAACATCAAATCATCATACCACCATCATCGGATCATCAGACCAACACCATATGATCAACATACCAACAACGTCTGGTCACCATACCGCCAACAACTCGACGGACGGACGGGCTGGCCACCGAACCCTGGCCACCGGTCCCCGGCGACACACACCACACACACACACACACCACACACACCACACACACCACACACATCACACACACACACACCACACACACCACAAACTCCACACACACACACACCCCACACACCACACACACCACACACACCACACACACAACACACACACACACACACCACAAACTCCACACACACACACACAAACCACACACAAACCACACACACCACACACACCACACACACCACACACACCACACACACACACACCACACACACCGCACACACACACACCACACACACACACACACCCCACACACACACACACACACCACACACACCCAACACACCACACACACACCACACACACACCACACACACCTCACACACCACACACCACACACACCAAACACACCACACACACCACACACACACGCACCACACTCACCACACACACCACACACAACACACACGACACACACAACACACACACACACACACCACACACCACACACCACACACCACACACACCACACACACCGCACACACCACACACACCACACACACACACCACCGCACACCACCGCACACATCATCACCACCAAAACTCCATCACCACCCTGAAGGGTACGGACGGACGGACCGTCTGGCCACCAAACCCGAGATAGCCCTGGTAGTATTAGTAGTATTGATAGTAGTAGTAGTAGTAGTAGTAGTAGTAGCAGTAGTAGTAGTAGTCGTAGTAATCGTAGTAGTAATGATAATAGCACCAGGAGTAAAAGTAATATAAGTAGTAGTAGCAATACGAGAAATTATGATACAATGTTTTTCTTCGGGCCAAAACGGCGGCTTGAAGTTTTGAGCAGACGTGTATGAGAGAACCTCCGTCAGACCCCATTAAGATCGACCCGACCCAATTGTGTTTTTGATTGTGTGTTTGTTTCTGGTGGGTCCGACTTTCCGTCCGCGCGGATGCGATTTTGGATTTTCGGAATCCGCGCCCGGCCTTTGTTTTTTTGTTTAACAAAAAGGCGGATCCGATTTCCACTCAGATTTGAATCTATATTGTTAACTGAGGAGGGGGAACGCGGACCCCGGAAACCGCCCGTGTTAAGATTCTACTGGGGACAGGGGTTCGGTCATCAACGTCCCAAGATGTGCTCTGTCCTGTCCCTTGCGCTCCCAACACCTTTCGGCACGCGGGGGCCCCACTCAACATGAATGCAGATCCCACCTCCTGGACGAGCTGCACGCAACTCGTCCAGACGTCGTCCGATCGGCAGAGCAAATATTACCCGTCGAACTCATCATCCCCAGATTCACCTAAAGAGGAAGATCGTTCGTCCTGCGTAAATAGGAATAACAACATTAATGGCAATAAAAAACACAAAGAGGAGACGATCTGCAATCGTGAAAGCAATCGCAACAGTACTTAAGCCTCCTCGTGCCACTCCTAAGATGCAGGAGCAGGAGGCCAAGGAGGAGGAAGAGAAGGAAGGGGGAGCGGGGGGAGGTTGAGGAAGAGGTTTTAGGGCAAGTCCGAGTCGCCGCCGAGTGGAAAGGGGGGGGTCAAAACAACAGACTTTCTGAGGTTGACGGTGCGTCTTTGTTTTCGGAGCATAACTCGGCTCCCCAGCGGCCGCTGAGGACGATGCGGGCAGCCCCGGACGCCCCTGGGCGAGGCGCAGTTGCTGGAGAGCACCCCGAGCCTGGAGAGCCACAGAGAACCGACCGACACGCCCGAAGACCTCGAACCTCGAATCTCGAAACGACCCCCCCACTCTGAGCCGATGCCCTCCTGATCGTGACCCCCGACATCTCGCTAGAGCCGCGCCGAGACGACGCGGCCCTGCCTTGTCTGGAGGCGGGCCCCCTGGGGAATCAAGCCGACAAGAGCAGCACGCGCAGGGCCACACGTGTCATGTGAACCTTACCCCCACCCCCCACGATTTCGGAGGGAGGGGGGTCACTCCACTCGGGAGTTCCCGAGCAACATGCCCCCCCCCCCCCCGCTCCCTCAGAAATCGTTGGGGGCCGGGGTAGGGCTCACATGGCGGATCCCGGAAAGCCTGAACCTAAAAAGGTCGCCGTCTCCTGAAAACAAAATGCTGCCGCGGACTTCCGCCGGCGGAAGCGGCCTCTTTGTACTTCCGCCGGCCCTCCGCCGGCCTTCCACCGCCTTCCGCCGCGGAAGAGATGGCAACTCCTTCGATCCTCGAAGACAAGGCCTTCTTGGCACGCCCCACACGTTGCCACCGACAGGGGGCCGCAGGTCTGCGGCGGACAAGAGTAAGCAGCAAGCACCGAGAGGTGGGGAAGCCCTCTTGACGGCCCCAGGGCCCGGGGAGGGCCTTTTTGGAGCACGGAAACGGCGAAGAAGGCAATTTGCGTCTTGTCGGGCGTTGGCAGAACTAGGTTCAGTGGGGTCCGGTTTGGTGATGTGTACTGGGGGACGCCCCCCCGCCCCGATCCACTAACCGGAACTGCCGTCACCCGGAAAAACACCAGCTACGGCAGACATGGTTTAGTGGTTCTGGCCAATTTAGGGGCTCTGGGGCCCTACTACGAACCGGGTCCCCTTACCTGGAGTCCTGGCTATACCCGATCTTGAAGAAAACATGTATGGCATTGGTCCCCAGGACCCTCACAGCCCGACGCGGCTCGAAAAATGGCACAGACGCATGGGTTCTAGGATTCTGGTCGCGTTGTTTCGCAACGTCGGATCTCGTGGGAGGGGGCGTGGTGAAGACCGAATTGAAACTGGGACTTCGCGCAAGTCTGGACTCACTTGCACGCCTTTTCGGCAGAGCGCTCTTCGAAAAGGCAGCGGAGCATGGGGGGGCGGAAGGGGAAACATCCTCAAAAACATCCAGGACCAGTTTCCCCCCCGGAGGGCGTCCACGACAGGGTGCGAACACCCCCGTGGGGACCCTGCCGTCCGGGACCCCTGCTGGGCAGGCGCCGACAGCGCAGCAAGAGCTGAAGGTCGAGGAACGGGAGGACAGGGGAGGACCGACGACCCCGAGGGTGGCGGACCCCGAGCGGGCGAAAACGTGGAAGGGCCAATCTCCCGGACCGCCCGGCCTCGCGCTCGGCCTTCTTTTTGTTCTCCTTCGCCTCGGCCTTCTCCTGGGGAAGCCAACGCGTGCCGATGCCGGTGCTCCCCAGACTCGTCCTGGGGCGCGTTCTGGCCAGGGTTTCACACAAAAAAAGCCCCACAGAAGGACCAAGAGGGGAAAACGGCCGCGAAGGGCAGAGATGTGGGTACCTTTTTCCTCCTCTGGTAGCCAGCTCGGCGTCGCGCTTCAGCTTCGCCGCCTGCTCGGCCGCCGTCTCCTCGGCAGCCTTCTCGCCATCCGGCGTCAGCGCCTGCTCTCCGGAAGGACGACGAGGGTGGAATAGCCCAAGGGCAGGCGTTACACTTTTCGGGGCTCGGCAACGACAACACTGTCTCGGGCGCCAGAGTGAAGGGGGGCGGGAACTTGAACAGGCGCGCGGCGCAAGTTTTCCATTCGTGCGGAGATGGCGCATCGAATAATGCGGCAGCGTCGGCTCTAGCTAGACTCCTCGGCGCGCGGCGCGAGCCCGAGTACACGGCTGACGTCTACTCCCTGGCCATGATGCCAGTAGCTTTAGGTCGAGCATGTTCCCTTACAGGCGAATTTCAAACGAAGCAAATTCTAACAACGGTCAAACAAATCAGAAGGTACTCAACAAATCATCCCCAGACTAGACTTCACTATCTTTGAATGTTCCTCCTGTAGAGGGACAGGTCCGACTTAACGGCAGCGGGAAAGAAATATGGGCACGCACTGCGGCGCGGAGTGGCGAGTCGTGCAGAAGGTTGCGGCGTCGGGGGGCTTTGGCCGGGGGCGGCAGAGCCTCGTCTTTTGTCGGGCGTGTCCCTCTACAGGAGGATTTTGGGCGAAAAATGAAGAAAACTCCAAAACTACTCCCAAATGATCAAAAATGGTACAAACATCGTTCCCGCATTATTTCCCAACCATCCTGTGGTGTTGGGTCCTCGTTTTGAAGAGACGGTGGCCCGCGTCTCCTCTCCTCCTCTCCTCCTCTCCCCTCCTATCATCCTCATCGTCATCATCATCATCATCATCATCATCATCGTCATCATCATCATTATCATCATCATTATCATCATCATTCCTCTCCTCTCCTCTCCTCTCCTCTTCTCTCCTCTCCTCTCCTCCACTCCTCTCCTCCTCTCCTCTTCACCCACCCAGTACACCGTTTCGTGGCCCCATAGGGAGCTCCACCGAAGGCCCCAGTGCCCGCGCCCGCATGCGTCACCCACACCCATTTCGGCACACCCTCACACGTTTCGTGGCTCCATAGGGAGCTCCACCGAAGGCCCCAGTGCCCGCGCCCGCATGCGTCACCCACACCCATGTCGGCACACCCCTCACACGCTTCGTGGCTCCATAGGGAGCTCCACCGAAGGCCCCAGTGCCCGCGCCCGCATGCGTCACCCACACCCATTTCGGCACACCCCTCACACGCTTCGTGGCTCCATAGGAAGCTCCACCGAAGGCCCAGTGCCCGCGCCCGCATGCGTCACCCACACCCATTTCGGCACACCCCTCACACGCTTCGTGGAATCCATAGGGAGCTCCAACCGACATGCCCCAGTGCCCGCGTCGATGTATATATAAACCTTCGAATCACCTGTTCAAGCTATACTCAAACGCCTTTTTTTTTTTCGTCGGTGCCATAGGGGCTCCGCCGAAGGCCCCAGTGCCCGCGCCCGCATGCGTCACCCACACCCATTTCGGCACACCCCTCACACGCTTCGTGGCTCCATAGGGAGTTCCACCGAAGGCCCCAATGCCCGCGCCCGCATGCGTCACCCACACCCATTTCGGCACACCCCTCACACGTTTCGTGACTCCATAGGGAGCTCCGCCGAAGGCCCCAGTGCCCGCGCCCGAATGCGTCACCCACGCCCATTTCGGCACACCCCTCACACGTTTCGTGGCTCCATAGGGAGCTCCACCGAAGGCCCCAGTGCCCGCGCCCGCATGCGCCACCCACATCCAATTTCGGCACACCCCTCACACGCTTCGTGGCTCCATAGGGAACTCCACCGAAGGCCCCAGTGCTGCCGCCCGCATGCGTCACCCACATCCAATTCGGCACACCACTAACACGTTTCGTGGCTCCATAGGGAGCTCCACCGAAGGCCCCAGTGCCCGCGCCCGCATGCGTCACCCACACACATTTCGGTACACCCCTCACACGTTTCGTGGCTCCATAGGGAGCTCCACCGAAGGCCCCAGTGCCCGCGCCCGCATGCGTCACCCACACCCATTTCGGCACACCCCTCACACGTTTCGTGGCTCCATAGGGAGTTCCACCGAAGGCCCCAGTGCCCGCGCCCGCATGCGTCACCCACACCCATTTCGGCACACCCCTCACACGTTTCGTGACTCCATAGGGAGCTCCGCCGAAGGCCCCAGTGCCCGCGCCCGCATGCGTCACCCACACCCATTTCGGCACACCCCTCACACGTTTCGTGGCTCCATAGGGAGCTCCACCGAAGGCCCCAGTGCCCGCGCCCGCATGCGTCACCCACACCCATTTCGGCACACCCCTCACCCGCTTCGTGGCTCCATAGGGAGCTCCACCGAAGGCCCCAGTGCCCGCGCCCGCATGCGTCACCCACACCGATTTCGGCACACACACCACACGTTTCGTGGCTCCATAGGGAGCTCCACCGAAGGCCCCAGTGCCCGCGCCCGCATGCGTCACCCACACCCATTTCGGCACACCCCTCACACGTTTCGTGGCTCCATAAGGAGCTCCACCGAAGGCCCCAGTGCCCGCGCCCGCATGCGTCACCCACACCCATTTCGGCACACCCCTCACACGTTTCGTGGCTCCATAGGGAGCTCCACCGAAGGCCCCAGTGCCCGCGCCCGCATGCGTCACCCACACCCATTTCGGCACACCCCTCACCCGTTTCGTGGCTCCATAGGGAGCTCCACCGAAGGCCCCAGTGCCCGCGCCCGCATGCGTCACCCACACCCATGTCGGCACACCCCTCACACGTTTCGTGGCTCCATAGGGAGCTCCACCGAAGGCCCCAGTGCCCGCGCCCGCATGCGTCACCCACACCCATTTCGGCACACCCCTCACACGCTTCGTGGCTCCATAGGGAGCTCCACCGAAGGCCCCAGTGCCCGCGCCCGCATGCGTCACCCACACCCAGTTCGGCACACCCCTCACACGCTTCGTGGCTCCATAGGGAGCTCCACCGAAGGCCCCAGTGCCCGCGCCCGCATGCGTCAGCCACACCCATTTCGGCACACCCCTCACACGCTTCGTGGCTCCACAGGGAGCTCCACCGAAGGCCCCTGTGCCCGCGCCCGCATGCGTCAGCCACACTCATTTCGGCACACCCCTCACACGTTTCGTGGCTCCATAGGGAGCTCCACCGAAGGCCCCAGTGCCCGCGCCCGCATGCGTCACCCACATCCAAGTCGGCACACCCCTCACACGTTTCGTGGCTCCATAGGGAGCTCCACCGAAGGCCCCAGTGCCCGCGCCCGCATGCGTCACCCACACCCATTTCGGCACACCCTCACACGTTTCGTGGCTCCATAGAGGCTCCACCGAAGGCCCCAGTGCCCGCGCCCGCATGCGTCACCCACGCCCATTTCGGCACACCACTCACACGCTTCGTGGCTCCATAGGGAGCTCCACCGAAGGCCCCAGTGCCCGCGCCCGCATGCGCCACCCACACCCATTTCGGCACACCCCTCACACGCTTCGTGGCTCCATAGGGAGCTCCACCGAAGGCCCCAGTGCCCGCGCCCGCATGCGTCACCCACACCCATTTCGGCACACCCCTCACACGTTTCGTGGCCCCATAGGGAGCTCCACCGAAGGCCCCAGTGGCGGCGCTCACATGCGCATGCGTCCCGCACACCCATTTCGGCACATCCCTGACAGGTTTCGTGGCCCCATCATCCACCGGAGGCCCCAGTGGCGGCGCTCACATGCGTCACCCACACCCACCCAATTCGGCACACCCCTCACACGTTTCGTGGCCCCATAGGGAGCTCCACCGAAGGCCCCAGCGGCCGCGCTCACATGCGTCCCCGCCACCCATCCCGGCACGCCCCTCACAACAACAGGTTTCGTGGCCCCATGGGGAGCTCCACCGAAGGCCCCAGTGCTGCCGCCCGCATGCGTCACCACCCGCACCCAATTCGGCACACCCCTCACACGTTTCGCAATCCTATGGGGAGTTCCATTGAAGATGAAACCCGCAGCTGCGGTACTGACAACTGCATATGGTTGGGTTCTTCGCCAGGCTAATTTCAGTGCGCTGGATCTCCACTTTCGAGGGCTGCTGGTGGGTCCAGCGGAGCGAGGCACCAGGCAGATCTGAGCGGGACATCGCAATCCCTGGGGGGCCGCGAGCCTCACGGATGCCGCCTGCAGAAGCATATGCGCCCATGTCACGCCATCACCTTCGTACGACGTCTCCCAAGCTACTCATGCCCCGTGTTGCGCAGGGGCTGGGTACCCAGACCCCCGACGTCATGATTTTTTCATGACGCGACCCCCAAAGGTCTGGACCCCTTCCCCGGGACCGGTTTCTCGTCCTGAGTCGTTTTTTGACGGCCCCGAGGCCAGGTAAGGGCCCCCGGAGGCCGAAAATAGCGAAAAACCTCCCGTCGTGATTTTTTCGCGACGCGAGGAGGTCTGGGTTTTCAGTGCGCTGGATCTCTGGGCCACTGATCCCCGGAGTCTCGGTCCTCGGTCCTCGTGGGCTCTGAAAGGGGCCCCGTGCCCGAGCTCCTCCACGCTCCCAGGGCTCGGCGCGTGCCCCCCTTATAGGCTCCTGTCGGGCGTGTCCCCCTACAGGGGGATCTTCAACGAAAAATCGAACATATACCCCAAAAATAATCAAAAACAACACAAACATAATTCCATGGCAAATGCCCCAAAAGGTCAAACACATCCTCAAAAAATAGCCCCCGGCCTATCTTTGGAGTATGTTTTAAATTAGTTTGGAGGTGTGTCTTATTTTTCGTCGAGAATCCCCCTGTAGGGGGACAGGCCCGACTTAACCCAAGGCTTCCGGGAAGCGTTATCGCGTGACGTTTTTTGGTTCCAAGAGGGCCCCAAGGCGGGCCCAGGGGACCCCAAGAGGCCCTCAGAACGGTCCCAAGGGGTCCCGAGTCGCCGCAAGATCGCACCAAGATGCACAAGATGGCCCCGAAACGGCCAAAGAAGCATCCAAGACGCCCTAAGAGGCCTCCAATGGGCCTCCCAAGAGGCCCCCAAGAGGTGAAAACCATTGCTTTCCCATGTGTTCTTGAAGGATGCTGGCGTTCTCGCCTTTT